TCTCTCTCTCTCTATCTCTCCCTCTCCCTCCCTCTCCTCTGTGTAATTGGAGGTGTCAATTAATACCAGTTAATTGAGTTCTGGTTAATTTGAAGTTTTACTGTTAGCTGACAGTTTCAGCTCTAGGAACACCCAGAATAAATTCCCTTATTTTTCTTCTTGTCCTTTTAAACTAAAACATATTATTCACAAAGCCATATTTTCAAACTTTGTGAAACCACATTGTTAAAAGCTATCAGAAGCCTATTCTATGCTTCGATTTGCCAACTTGATAGCTGGTGGTTCTGAATGCATAAGCTTCCTTTGAGTATCAAGAGAACACAGACTATGGGATCTGAAGAGGGTTATGGGATATCCTTGCAGATTTAATCATGATTTTCACAGTCCTAAGCCCTAGACAGTGAGAGAAATGAGTGGCATACCGAAAAAGCACCACTACTATAATTAATTCATCCAGCAATTTCTTTTTTAAGTCTACCATGTGCAAATCACTGTACTAGGGGCCATGGAGAGGACAAGCCAAGGTGTAATAGTCTGATATGGAAACTGAAGATGTACTAATAGCTTGAACAGGAGCTAGTATGTCAAAAATGCCACATCCATAGTTGGGGAAATAAATTATATGACAGTTGAGAGGAGGAGGATGTCACTTCTGACTAAATGATAAAGGGAAATTTTGTAAAAGACATAACATCTGAGCTGATCCTTGAAGAAGGGATAAGATTTTGTTAGGCAGAGTTGGCAGAACCTACATAAACAGAGAGGCAGGAAAACCCAAGTCTGTTCAGGGGCTGTGAAGAAAGATGCACAATGGTGAGTAATGACAGAAAAGCTTAAAAAGGCAGATAGGAGATTCAATTAGCAACCACTTTTGCAAGCTAACATTTGAATCTTATTTCAAATAAATGAACATTGTTGACCAAGGCAGTGGCCAAGAGCCCAAACTTTGGCTCAAATAGATTGAAGCTCAAACCCTGATTCCACTTACTATGTGTGATCTTGAGCAGGACACTTACCTCACTGAGTTGCAGATTAAAAATCTCTACCTCACGTGGTTTATATCAGGATTAAATGCAATTGGGATATGAAGCGCTCAGTCATTCAGAAAACATTTATTGACCCTGTACTATATCTATCCCAGACAATGAGCTTTGTACTGCTAATACAGAGATAAAAGCCGAAACCAGGTCCGAAAGGAAAGCATGAAGCAATAGGAAAGACAGATAAGTAAACAGAAAATTACAATTCTGGGTAAGTGAGCACACAGTCAGAGGAGCTGAGTAACTCAGGAAAGGAGATGGTAAAGAAAGCTTACCAGAGGAGGCAGCCCCTGAGGCACCTGAAAGGAGTCTCTAAAGGTGGGTAGAAATAGAACTTATTTTCCAAGGTTTGATTATTTTTATTAATCTTCTTGTTACATTGTAGTTTCTAGCAGAAACAAGCCTTTAAAACTCTAAATGGGTTTTTGTTCTTATTTATGTTGTTGTTTGGCTGGTTGATTGCTTTTGGCTTATTTCAAACCCAGAGAAACAGAGATGGTGTGGGGGAGGGTGCCCTATTTCTCAGCTGACAAAAGGGAAGAAAGGAGTCCATTTGCAACCGCATTAGCAGGGGAAGAAGTAAGCAAGCCAAATCGCTGAAACATGTGGAGTAAAACGAAAGACTTTAAAAGGAAGTTGACTTAATATGAAGTAGCAAACCTGGGTTTCCACTTGGAGGAGACTCATTGTGGACATTTGCTGGGTTTTCTGCCCACATATATTTCCCCTTCTGAAATGGGGCCCCAGTTTTGTTTTGGTTTTTCTTTTTCTGAAGAATCACATCTTCCCTCATTTTTTTTTTTAAGATTTTATTTGATGTGTTCTGGTGAAGTCAACTCCACTTCATTCTGGCTTCAGGGTTGACTGGATTCAGGCCTGGCCAATCAGAGCCTCACACTGGCCTCAGTGCTGCATCATCTAGTCAGAGCCAGAGGGAGGCAATCTGGGACTTCTGCTGAGCCCGTAGGTATTCCTTGGCTACTGGTTTGAACATGGGAAGTTGTAGACTAGGAGCTGCTGCTGGCAGCCATCTTCCTACCACTTCCCACCACTTGAAACCTGATATTGAAGCCAGCCAATAAGAAGGAGAGCAGTAGAATATAAAGCTGTGATCCTCACAGTAGAATATAAAGCCCAAGAGGGCGGGAAGTTTGGCTTTATTTAAAATTTTTTTTTACTGATATATCATTTACATATGAAAAAATGCACAAAATATTTGAGTAAAAAATTAATACAAAGTGAATATATGTAGTTAACTACCATCTAGATCAAGAAATCAAACATTACCCTTCTCATACTTCTTCTAATTACTACTCCCACTCTCCTCTTGACTATTAACATCATAGTTTTGAGTTTTTGAATTTTATGTAAATGGAACTATATAGTATACATTTTTGTGTGCCTGGCTTCTGTCACTCAACATTATTGTAAATGTCTTTGATGAACATACACATGAATTTCTATTGGCAATATTCTCAAGAATAGAATTTCTAGATCATAGATTGTATGCATGCTCAACTTTAGAAGATATTGCCAAATTATGTTCAAAAGTGATCATAACAATTTACTCTTCTACCCTGGTATGAACCTGTTGCTTCACATTTTAAGCAACATTTAGTTGCTTTTCAGTCTTTTTTTTTTTTAAGATTTTTTTGGGGAATTGGGTGAGGGGAACAGACAAGTTGCTGTCCTTTTGTTCTTCAGCCTAGTTGTGGAGAACATCGCCTCACTGGCCCATGTTGGTATTATCATTGTGCTCTTCCCGGGTGAGGCAGATCGGTTGCCGGCCTCTGGACCGCCGCTCACAGTGGCTCTTTGGCAGCTCACACCGGCTGCCGGCCTCTCACGCTGGCCACCAGCCATACCCGGTAACTTATGGCAGCCCACTGCAGCAGGGGCCACAGCCTACGCTGTCGCCGGCGACTCATGGCATCCAGTTCCAGGCCAAGCTGTTGTTCACCATCTTAGCTGTAGAGGGCAGTGTCACTGGCCCTCATGTGGGATCCGAACCAGGGCCCTGCTGCTCAGAGCTGGCATCCC